AAAGTAACATCTTCCCAGATTTGAGTGCCAACAGTGGGAATACTTTATCCAGCCCTCTACTTCTGAAATTTTTCTTTTGTTAATTCATTCAGAAATGAATTTAGGGGTGGGGTTTTTTTTTGTATAAAAGGGCATCCTGATATATCTATACAAATATCAACATTTGAAAATATGTCACTTGCTACATTGAACTGGCTAACTAACTTAAAGACTTGGAACAACAGTAGAAATGGATATAGTAAGTATTAGCAGAGTCACTGAAGCAGTAGGTGTGAACTTAAATGGACTCCAGGAAATGGTAGAGGACAGGAAGACCTGGAGAAACGTTGTCCATGGGGTCGCGATGGGTCGGACACGACTTCGCAATTAACAACAACAACAAAGTATTAGCAGAAATGCTGTACAATAATTGCATAGCTCTTTGAAAACTAAAGGACTTCATATATACAGGTAGTCCTTCAATTGGGACTCCAGGTAAACCAGACAGGAAACATGAACTAGAACTGTAATTTTTACAGTTTTGCATGATTCTTCTCCCCTCATATGATAAATGGGAATTGAGGAAGGTAAAGCCAGCTAAAAGTACTAATTCCTGGTGATTACATAGGCATGTTAATATTCCATAGGTCCCTCAAGACCTGGTTTTATATTAAGGCCTGGAGTTCTCCAAGGACCAGGGATATTCTAAGATGGTTCTGTCATTGTGCTTAATTTACTCTCTCCTGTACCTGATAGATTATATTTTAAAGACCACTGGTAGCACAGTGGTTAGAATGCAGTTTTGCATGCTAAGTCTGCCCACTGCCAAATGTTCAATTCTGACTGGCTCAAGGTAGACTCAGCCTTCTATCCTTCCAAGTAAAATGAGAACTCAGATTGCTGGGGGTAATATGCTGACTTGGTAAACTGCTTAGAGCAGGGATGTTAAACTTGCAATGTCACATGGATGTGTCGCGATGTATCGCAACTTTTTTGCCATTGCCGGCAATGGGGTAGGCGCAGTTTTGCTATGATGCATCTGGCCTGTGGGCTGCCAGTTTGACATCCCTGGCTTAGAGAGAACTGTAAAGACTATGAAGTGGTATATAAGTCTAAGTGCTATTGCTATTAATAATGACTGTTTTAAATTATTTTAAATCTATTCATTGATTTATTTAATTGTTGTATACTGCCCAGAGTCGTTTCATGTGAGATGGGTGGTCATATAAATGGAAGATAGTGATAAAAAGAGAGGGAAAGAAAGATGATAGATGGATGATAAATAGACAGACAGACAATACAGAAACAGTTTGCTACTGATTTTTCTGGAGTATATTTTTTAAAAAAATCCAGTGTAAATTATGGAATCTGAGACCTAGCTAGATGCCTTCATTGTTGAGGGGGGCATTTCTATTTCCTTCAATTATTTGATTTCCAGTTTTTTAGGATATTTATTATTGTGGTCTTTTCTATTTGTATTTGCTATTTTTATATTCTCACATTTTATCTATGATTGTGCACCACCCAGCATTACCTTGGGTGAGATGGTTGGCTATATAAATTGGATTAATAAATGTATAAACTGTAAGATTTTCTATTGGTGTTCTATCCTATTTGTGATTGGATTCCTGCTTAGATTCTGAGAGTGATATAGATAACTAGATGCCACCAGCTGCTATATAATGAGACCAGTTACTTTGTTCATATTAGAGATGAGAGTCCCAGATTAGCAACTGCTCTCAACTATTGTTGATTCTGATGTAGTTATAAAAATACTAGAATTAGGATACTTCAATCAAATATACATGTGGGAAGGATTTTAGAAGACATCTCAGCTTACATGATGTTAAACACAGAAAATGACTTGATTTGAGCTCAGCTACAGGCAATTACAGAGACATATCTATATCATTTTCTTGGCAGCAATGTGAACGCAGTTTGCCATTGATTTGCAGGGATTTTGTTTTTTATGCTTTAATCTAGCCCAGCGGTTCTCAATCTGTGGGTCGCGACCCCATTTGGGGTCAAACGACCATTTCACGGGGGTCGCCAAACAACGCAGTCCACCATTTTTTCTCCTTTTCCTTAGCTTTGCTACTCCCTTTTATTCTATTGGCTTTCAAAAGCCAATAGGAATTGTCCAGGCTATCTCTGCCCTGCTGAGCCTGCCAAAACTCCCATTCTGCAAATGGTGCTGCAAGTTGTCTGCAGCAAAGGCGAGCTGTCTGGAGGCTTCCACCCCTCCCTGCTGAGCAACTACTAAAAATGTAAGTAAAAGAGGGCCGGGGTGGGAGGTGGGAGGCCGGCGGGCACAGGGAGGGTTGCTGGCGCACATGGGGCCCTGCAGGTATCTTACCTCCCTTGGGCTGGGCCAGCTGGTGGCCCAGCCAGTGGTCGCCCTGCACGTCGCTGCCCCTTGCCAGCTACGCCTCGGCTGGCGCAGGGGGTGGCACCACGCATGCGCGGTGCTTCCGGGCAGGGAAAGTCCTCGACTTACGACTGGTTGGGTAGTCCTTGACTTACGACCAGTTGGGTAGTCCTCGACTTACAACCGGTTGGGGGTCATGGCATTAAAAAGGTTGAGAACCACTGATCTAGCCAGTCGAGACCATTTTCCTGGTGGTCTCATGTCCAAGTACTGATCACTCCAATCTGCTTAGGCCTTCTGGGATGGAGCAAGACTGGCTTCCACCTGTTGTAACATGCACGCAGGTAATTCTTGACTTATGAGAGCATCCAAAATTAGAACAGACTCCACAAAAGGTATGTATGACACAGATTCCAAGGTATGATAGCTTCCCCCCCTCCAATGTTAACATAATAATATTTTGGGTACTAGCCAATTGGCTTGCATTTCCCAGTTACCAGCAAAAAATACTCCCATTGTGAACAATGGTTTTGCTTAATGGTCATGGCATTCACTTAACAATAACCACAAAAAATATTGTAAAATCACATGATGACATGTTAAAGGACTGTACTGATTTACAATCATAATCCTGAGCTCAATTGTGGTCCTAAGTTGAGGACTACCTGCATATTTATTTCTTGGATTGGATGTCCAGTACCTCACAGGAACAGACCTGACAAAATTTGTCAGACAGATTTTATATATATCTAGAGGGCTGAATAGCATAGTGCTTAGAATGATAATGAGAGATTATGGATTAACAGAAGACCTGCATCCACACTAATTGAGAAATAGCTAGTTACCCCACACTTCAACACAGTGAAGAGGAAGACAATCCAACACAGATACAGGCAGAAACAGAATATATGAAACAGTACAATGAAGTAGATGGCATTGTGTTCAGGAACATCTGCATTGTGTTCAGGCTATACACTCCCAAGTCCAGATAGGAGAGTAAATCATGTATAATAACAGGGATAGGATCATATGCAGCTCCAGACAATTAATAGGTAATCACATTTTAGCTGCTCTGCTTCCATGCCTGTCATGTAGAAATGGAACTGAGAAGCTTCTGTTCAGGCTATGCTATTGATTTCTGCATCAAGTAGTTTTGATGTATAGAAGACTGCCAGGAAAAGTAAACTGGCTAACCTTGTCACTGGAAGGAATGCCATGATTAGTTGATTGTCCCATATTACACAAAGAAGTAATATTATTCACTACATCCAGGAATCAAACCATAGATTCAGAATAATAAAACATGATATGGAATTACCCCAAATGCCAACCACGTTCACTTGTTTTCCCGTAAAATTGCCATATATCAAGTCTGTTGGGTCACCATCATCTGAATTGGAGACATTTCAGCTGCCATCTTCAGAATGCAACTTCTTTTAAGTCTAAATTGCTTTTTAATGTTATGCTGGGATTCAGATTTCAAATAGCAGTTGAGGCTATGACAAAGCAGTTTTTTTTTACTACTTACTACTTAATAATTTCCCTCTTATATTGTTGGAGAGGTTTTCTAGAAATACCATGAGAGATCTGGAGAGTATATAAAAACTTATATAAATTTTACATAAGAGTATATAAAAAAACCCCAGAGAATTTCAGTGTAGAATTGGTGGCAGAAATATGGTTTCTCCAATGTTGTTGGAGATACAGATTGTTAAAATAAAAGTGGTCTCTTCAACCTCCAGTTAAAATGGAGTAGTAACTACGGTTAAACATTAACTCTAATAAACTTACCTCTACAGTTAAGCCAGCTGTGATCTAGCTATGAGTCTCTACCTTGAATTCCATTTGGAACTGTCCAGGGTGCTAGTTTGAATCTAAACTCTTCTTTTTTTTTGAACTTAAACCTTGCCCTGAACTTAAATAATTTTAGAAATTCTCTTGAGCTGTGACACCCATATAGGATCTCCAGAAGATACATATCAGTTCTGCCTGACTATTATTACTAGGAGAAATATATATCCCTCAGAGGATTCCAACTTCCCCATATTGCACATAAATTTATTTAATTTACTGTTTAGTCCTAACCCTATTCAATTTTAGCTGTGCACAAAGTACAGCTATCACTTCACAATTCACCAGAATTCAAAATGGCATGGAAGTTTAAGTCCGTTATTCATAAGACATTTTAAGGAAATGATTGCCTTTCCCCACATCCTCTGAAAACTCCTCACAGAGACAAAGAGATCTGTAGAAGGCCTCCTGTGAAGCACAAAGGCCTGCAATTCCTGGGTGGAAGGGTTTTCTATTTTCTCACAGGGGAATTTGGATCTCAACCAATGTTAACATTTTTGTTATTACTCAGTGTGACACATTCTCTGGAAAAGAAGAATGGAAACCATGGACAAAGGCAATAGATACATCTCTAAATCCACAGGGGAAGAATGGAAGAAAGTTTCTAAATGAAGCAACTTTCTGAAGTATGATTCATATTAAAACAAATCAAGAAAGGAGTCTTGATGGCTATAATAAGCTTGAACCGCATGGTTACTTCTGGTTTATTGTTCAATGGCCATGTTCCCAGTATATGCTATTGACACAGTGTTCAGCTTTGCTTCAAATTAAGAATAATGATAAAACAATGTCTCCATCTTACCATTTTGTATTCTCTCCAACTTTTTTGGAAATCTAGGCTCCCATCTTCTCGGTGTTGTATGACTGTCCAGCCTCCTCCTGCAGTCTCCATATTGCAAAAAACCTGGACATAAGAACATAAATGTATAAACATCTCTATGCTGATTTGTCTTGAGCCAGCCTGCTCCTTTTCCTGCGGTCAGTAATAGCCATTTCTCAGAGAAAGTTAGTAGTAAGGCAAATAAAATGCTAATGTATAACTCCTGTCCCCCACTTTTCAACTCTAAAAAAAAGAAGTTGGACATCAAGCTTATATCTTTCAATAAAACAGAATAATGCACTTAGTTTGTGTAATTATTATAGCCCATCAAGCTTTATGCACTAATAAAATTCATAAATTAATTCTGTGAATCATTTAAAGTGTTAAAATCTATTTCATCTAAGATCAATGAATAACAATGAATATCAGTCACTTTATGTTCAGATTTTTTTGAAGCTGGGGAGGGAAACTCCTATATCACTGCATTCTGAATTATTTTCAAGGGCAGTGAATTGCAACAGTCCCTGTTATAAGTGACTAAAGGAGAGATTATCTGAAAGGTTTTTTCCTTGTATTTCTGCAGTCATTATCCATATGTTTTAATCACATTTCCAAGATCTGGTTATTAATTATAAAGTCCTTGGATCCTAGTTATCTTTGAGACATCCTGTTTTAGGTAGAATCTACCTATGTTATGTATGCTTTGTTTATTTCACAATTGTATTAATATAAGAACATTCTACAGCAAGTGAGATTGACTTAGAAGATGATTATTAAACTTTTAAATGCTAGTTTTGGAAACAGTGTTTGCTTCATGGTGATACCTAATCAATACATCTTCCAAAATAGAAAACTGACCAAGTTGCATCCATTAGAGCACATTTACATTTAGGCAAGAAAAATCAAATGTATAAGTATAGATACTGGCTCAAAAATAGTAATTGTGAGAGGGACCTTGGAGTCCTAGTGGATAATCACTTGAATATGAGCCAGCAGTGTGCAGCAGCAACCAAAAAAGCTAATACAGTCCTGGGTTGTATAAACAGAGGCATAGAATCAAGATCACATGAAATATTGGTACCGCTTTATAAAACCCTAGTGAGACCACACCTGGAATACTGCAACCAGTTTTGGTCACCATACTACAAAAAAGATGTTGAGACTCTGGAAAAAATTCAGAGAAGAGCAACTAAGATGATCAAAGGCCTGAAGACTAAAACATATGAAGAATGGCTGCAGGAATTGGTTTGGCTAGTCTAAAGAAAATAAGAAATAAGAGTGACACAATAGCAGTATAGCAAATATATTACAGGCTGCCACAAAGAAGAAGGGGTTACATTATTCACCAAAGCACCAAAAGGCAGGACAAGAAACAATGGTTGGAAACTGATCAAAAAGAGGAGCAACCTAGAATTAAAGAGAAACTTCCTGCCAGTGAGGACAACTAACCAGTGGAACAGCTTGCCTTCAGAAATTGTGGGGGCTCTATCACTGGAGATTTTTAAGAAGAGGCTAGGCAGTCACTTGTCTGAAATGGTGTAGGCTCTCCTACTTTACCAGGAAGCTGAGCCAGAAGACCTCCATGGTCCCTTCCAGCTCTATTCTTACTTTGATTCATGTATACAAATATGTACTAAGTACCATCACTACCATGGCCACCATCTCCATACACCCTACATCCCCACTATTCCATGAAGGTTCATTTTCTGCTGTGTATTTTCCAAATAAATGGTTCAGGAAGTGCTCCTTTAAGATGCATGCATTTGAATGCTTATAATCTAGATGAGAGCCAGAACGATCTCATTGTGCTCATGTATGAAAAAAACCATACTCTGCTGTTGGGCTAACAATAGATCTGAAAACTGATATCAATTCATCAAAAGTCAGTATTATCTATTTCCATGCAGGATCATACAAGGGAACCAAACTTATGTATTTCCTGGTAGTGTAATTGTTGCCATTACCCAGTTCCTTTGAATGCTTTTCTTCAAAACAAACTATTATATCTTTTGCTGAATCCATCTGATGCCTTTCACATGAAGATGAATGGTTCATACCACAGTTGCTTGGTTGTTTCCATTACATGACTTTGATTCTACTGTGTATCTTTGATACTTGCACACACAGCCAAAGACTGCTGATTGTCTTAGAGGATAGGCATTGTACATTGCTCCAAATCTGTTAACTTTATTTCAGAAAGAAAGGACAAAAATCCAATGGGAGTAAAATAGTTTGGCTCAGGGCTTCCTTCCGTCATGGCATTTGAGTTCAAACATTTATCTACTGCCTGGGTCTTGGATTTATAGCAGGCATTTTCAAGTAATGTGTGCATTATCAAGCTTCAACAGAACACAAAGGCCAGTGTTTTGAACATTTTTTTCAAATATTAAATCTTTATACGCTGTGTAAAACAATGGTACAAGAAGGGAAATATGCATTCCATTTTCTGTACTTGTCTTTTTTTATAACAAACTGGAATGGCAAAGTGGAATAGAAGGTATACAGATTATCTCTTGAATTAATTTTTTTTAAAAAAATCCTTTCCTACATAAATTTAAAGTTTTTGCATTTTGAGTAATGTAGGTATTGCAAAAAAGCAAAAAGAAAAAATGCACAATGACAATGAGATTTACAACACTAAATTATTCATTGTGTGGTCTGGTCATCTCCATAGCAATGGATTGGATAGCAACACCTGCCACAGTAACAGGAGTGGCAGGGTGATTATAAATATTAGCTTTCCATACTTCAAGCCAACAAATATCCTTAATTGGCTCATGTCCCAGACAAGGTCAAGGCAGTCAGCCATTAAACACCTTTTAGCATGTTTTGAAGTTGAAATCTGAACACACACATTGAGATACATAAGGAAACAGGCAGAATTTCACATCATTCTCCTTTTCTGTTTTTACAATGGATTGACTCTTTCAACTGGACATGCTTACAAAATGATTTGGAGGAAGGACTTCAGGCATTGTGAAAGGAAAGTCACAGGACCTGGAACATGTGTAGGGTGGGATCAAAATTGGTAAGATGGTGAATGGAATCATGCAATGCAAGTCTTGCTCCTTTTATTTCTGCATCACAGCTGCCTGCATGTTCAAAAAAAGCAGGTTTTCATTAAAGCAGCTCCACTTTTTTTCAAACTTCCCTTTGGGAGGGGGAGAGAGATTGTACATTTAAGAAGTTGATTCCCTATAAGTGAAGTTTCAGGTGCCCTTTAAAAAAAAAAACCATTTGCCCAGAAACCTGTAAAAGGAACGATTTCATTGAATAGTAATGAGATGCAGTGTTCATCTTTACACAAGACTTCAAGTATTTCATTTGTGAAGAATTAGCAGCTCTTCTGAGAACAATTTGAACCAGTACTACACAAAGGGTTCTGATCTATTGTGACTCCCTGAACTGATAGGGCAGTTTGCACTAGTCCTTTAAAAGAAAGAACTTCTTGGTTATTGAAGATCAAATTATACTAATATTTTAGTGTTTTTATATGAGTAGTTGTTCTACATGCTTCACTTAACATCATAGTAAGACTCCAGTCCAGTGAGGATTGGTTGGATTGCTGGAATAGTAAAAAATAATAAGTCTGGAAGAAATCATTCTTTATCCTAGTCTCCAGAGAGTTTCTTTTAGTCCACTTTATGGTTTGTTTGCTTTTTCTTACATAGAAAACTCTTCTGTATAGGAAACAAAGTACATAACTGAACTGTAATGTGCAGAAACCTATAGCAAATCCTGAACATGGAGGTTTTTTCCTCCAATATAGCACTTGATTAATGTAAACAAGGACTTAACTACATATATGATAGGCTTTTTTGATAATTCTTTGCCGCCAAAAAGATGAATAGATGGAATACAAGGCCAAATTTACCCCAAAAAACTTGAGACAAGGTGAAAAGCTAAATTTTCTTAACCCAGCTTCTCTGTATTTGTGTGACTGTAATGCTGCATCTTATATGACATTTTGGGAGTTTAAGGAAAAAAAATGGGTGCCTTTAGGATCTCTTGGAGTTTGTAGCTTAACTCTTAAGTCTTGACTTTTAAACTCCCCAAATGCAAATCTTAAAAAAACAAAAATAAAACAGTCTTCCACTCTTGGGAGCCGCTAAAGGGCTGATGGTGATCTCCATTTTTCTATACTGTAGTAACCATACAAGTGACTTTTGAATCATCTTCAAGTCTTTTTCCACAAGAGATCCAAGATCCATGTAGTTCCAATCTACCTGTTCTTCCCCTGCAATTTTTCCAGGCCTCCCAAGACATGATTTTGAAAACAAGGAACTACAGAGAAAGTCATTCCTGCATATTTCCTGTAGCAGCAGGAATAAAAAGCAGAGTGGCATTTACCAAAGGCCAATTCTAATTGCTTGAATTTTGACCAACATCTATTTGAATGGATTAAATATTTAAAAAGAAACACATACTTTTCTTTACCTTTTTAGGTTCCGATATATTAGTAACATAAATTGTGTAGACACCGCTTTTATTAAAACCAGCTTGGTATGCATCTGCACAGTCTCTGAATGGCTTCTCTTCTTCCCTTTTTGCATTCTTTAGCAAAACTGCAAAACAGAAAATAAATATGATATTGACATCTGCAGTAATAACCCACAGCAAATCTTCAACCAATTGTGGCATTCCTTCCAGCGACAAGGTTAGCCAGTTTACTTTTCTGGCAGTCTTCTAGACATCAACAGCAACTTGATGCAGAAATCAATAGCAGAGTCTGAAAAAAAACTTCTCAGTTCCATTTCTATAATGACAGGCATGGAAGCAGGAGCAGCTCAAAAATGTGACTTGCCTGCTAATTGTTTTAAAGCTATAGTTAAACTTAAACTAAACTTGGAGTGTGCAAACTTTTAAAGTTGAGAATTGTTTGAGGCATTCAAGTGAAATACCAGAGGCCATACTTCAAAGTTAATGAGCTGCATACTAAACACAATTTATCTGATGATTTAACATGTATTTCATATTTTCTACCTTCTGTTAAATTTCACGTTACAGTGGCAGATGCTGGAGTCAACCTTTGGAGAAACCCTGGGGTTACTTCCAAACCTGTGGGAGGTCACCTCTGAATCCCACCATCTCAGGCTGAAGATACTGGATTAATCATCACATGGGGGACATGGACAGAAAAGCTACACCTTGAAAATTAATCCCAGTTAATTCAGCAGAATTTACTTCTAAATAAACACATACACTAATGATAAAATTGATATAACTTATAACTCCTGTGTTTATCAATTATATCCTTCTTCTAACTGATTATGAATCAAACTTTCTACTGTAAATGATTTTTATAGTTTATGCATATCAAAAAAAATTCTATGCAAACTTAGCTAGTACTTGCAAAACCTACACTCAAGGTTACATAACAGTCTAAACTCTCAGTGACTGCAATGCAGCATAGAACTAGATCAAGAAACTTAAATATATTATTAACACAAAGGGATGATGATTACATTGCTTACATATGCTCTTTCAACTTTATGTCAGGGGGAAACTTGAGAAGTCACCTTTTTTTCATAGTGCTTTCTCTGACTGCCCAATACAGAGGTCTTCAAACTTGGCCCTTTTATGACTTGTGGACTTCAATTTCCAGAATTTCTCAGCCAGGCATGCTGGCTGAGGAATTCTGGGAGTCGAAGTCCACAAGTCATAAAAAGGCCAAGTTTGAGGACCCCTGGCCTAGTATGTCTTGATGGAAGATATTGTTTTGGAGATAACAAACCTATATTTTTTATCCTTTACAATATAGAATCAATATAAAAAAAGTTTGTGGAAATTTCCAGGCCTTTCCTTAATTTTGATATTTCATTTTGATATTACCTATGGTACAGGTCTAATACATTCCCAGCAGCTAAAACCCATCACCCAATATTCACTGTCTTCTTTCATGCTGCCAGATAATGTGAAATGTACATGTGTGACTCCAGCCTGGGGAAAGAATATGTCAGTCCTTACAACAACTGCCTTCTTTTGAAGGACTTCTGGCCAATTTCTTTCTTTCTTTCTTTTTTATTAAAAAGTTTTACAAAAATTACAAAATATATCCCAAAACCCACCCATCCTACCCCCTCCCCTCCTCTCCCCCACTTCCCAGAGCTGAATACAGGGTAACAAATATAATAATCATAATCTAACTAACATTAACCAACTATATAGATAAACAAATATAATGCACTTTAACTCCCCTTTAACACAGAGTAAACAGTTTGCAAATAAACTTAATCACATAAACAAATTAAAATCCTAATTCATAAACAATACAATATAATAAAAATTCCACTATACTAAACTATTAAGAATAATAATAATAACAATAATAATATTCTAAAATTTATTCGTAAAATAAATGGAACTTTTTAGTCCCATATTTATTCTGAATATAATCTATCCATCTTCTCCAAATCGAAATATATCTCTCTTGTGAATGATCCTTCAAATAAGCCGAAATCTTTGCCATTTCTGCTAAATTTGAGACCTTAAGGATCCATTCTTCTATAGTCGGCAAGGAATCTTTCTTTCAATATTGTTCTGATCTTCCGGTGGATTTTGCGCGCGCGATGGCGGCTACTTTGTAGCCGTCCTCCTGGGTAAGTGTAAGAACTGCTATGAACAGCAGACATCAGCTGTTCAGCGGTTCAAAATCCCCCTCCCGGGCAAAGGGGGGGGCAGAGAGTGTCTGAATAGTGGTAGAGCCTCTTTTGCACCCCCCAAGTCCTTTTTTTGGGGGGTGAAAGGAGTGCTCCCACGGAGTTCAGACTTGTCTCCGCTTCCCAGCTGTTTTTGTCCTCAGGGACAAAACGAGCCGCTGCAAACACCTCCGTGCTTAAAGAGAACTGGTGAGTTTTTTTTTTAAACGGACAGAGCTGAGTAGAGGATTTAGTTTTTGCTTTCTTTGACTTATTTGGATTTTAAGTTTTTAAGACTTGTTTCTATTTTTACTCTCTCTTTTTATTTCTCCTTCTTTGCTGAAAGGGAAAGTAAAATGGCGATCGGCAAATCTCTCGGTGTTTTTTTTTTTTTTTTTGGAAGTTAGAATGCTGACCGGCAGGCTTTTTGGTGCTTTTTTTTTTTTTTTTTCCTTTCCCTTTTCCTTTTTTATTTTCTTATGATTGGAATGGACTGTTAGAATTATTATTTTTGTTTAATCTTTGTGTTTGTTTTTGGTATCTCTAAGTATTTTTTTTTAAAAAAAAATGGAACGGACCTTTTCTATTTAATTATTTTTTTCTTCTCCCCCTTTTTTTTTCTTTCTCTCTTTTCTTTTTTTCTGAACTCCTTTCCTTTTATTGCAATGACCCCTTTTTGAAGGATTTCCCCCCCTCTTTTTTTTTGAATTCATGGAGTTAACTCCTTTTTTTGCTTAATTTTTGCAATTTTTAAGGAGGAGTAAAGTTTTTTTAATTCCTTTTCTCTTCTTTTTTTTTCCCCCTTTTTTCTTTTTATTATAATGACCTTCTTTGGAGGGAGTTATGATTTTTGAAGGAATTTTTATAATTTTTTAAGAAGGACTAAAGGGTTTTTTTTTTAAGATGGCTCCAAAGCGTCCAGGGATTTCTACAGCTTCTAAATTAACAGTCTCACCCTCTTCTGGGGGTCAGCTAACAACTATGAAGGATTTGCAAGACATGATGGGAGATGTCATAATTCAAATTAGGGCAGAAATGAAAAAGATTTTAGAGGAAAACAATAAGATCTTGAGACAAGACTTTGTTTTGGCTTTAAAAGGAGTTGCTTCTGTTCTTGAAAAGATGAACTCCCATGTGGAAGAGGTAGATGAAAAAGTGGAGATAATGGAGGGGAAAATTGAAAGTATGGAAAAAGAGATGGAAAATGAAATTCTTATGCTTCAATATGGACAAATGGAATATGCCTTAAGAATCAGGGGCCTGGAAGAGTCTTTGCAAGGAAATTTGAAAGAGATGGTTGCAAAGGACTTTGCATTGATTTTGAATAAAGAAAAAGAGGGAATACTTAGTGAAATTGAAAAATTATTCAGGGTTAATTCTGTGGTGGCAGCACAGAAGAATCTGCCAAGAGATGTGGTAATTTACTTTGGTAAAAAATCTCTACGCAATGAAATTGTGCAAGCCTATTATAAGAAGAGATTTCAAATTGCTTCACAAGATGTTATAATTTTTAAGGAGATCCCATCTAAAATTTTAAGAAGAAGAAAGGAGTTTGCTTTTCTAGCAAATGAACTTAAAAAGAGAAAAATACTATTCAGATGGGATGTCCCGACTGGAATGGTGGTGAACCACCTGGGGACATGTTATAGACTTAATACTGTTTCTCAAGCAAAAGATTTTTATACCTCGGTCCTGGGGGTATGTGTATCGCCATCTATTAAGTTTAAAGTTTTGGAAGAAAAGAATGTAGAATTACAGCTTGAAGAGCCTATATTTATGAAAATTGGGGAACCCTTGTTTGAGAGGCCCCAACAAGTCCAGGTTGAGGAACAGAAGACAACTTGTGCAGCATACAATTGCAAAGAAAAGCAGCAACAGAAGAAGGTCTCTGAATCTCTGGGAGAAGTTAGACCTACAAAGTCTCTGGAGCAATCTTCAAGGGTGGAATTGCTGCCTGAAATGGAAATTGGGAAATTTCAGCTTGAGGGGCACCAACAAGAGAGGAACGGGCAGAGGATAACTTGTACAACTTATAATTGTGAAGATCAACACAAGGAGGAATTCACTGAGGAAGTTTTACAGGTATCGGTCCCTGAGACTTGTGCAACATATAAATGTAAAGAAAAAGTAACATATAAATGTAAAGAGAAAGACCAACAGAAGAAGGAGGTTGAGGAAGTTTCACAGGTACTGATTCCTGAGCTTGTGGGTCAACCAGGACTTACAAACTCTTTGGAGCGATCTTCAAGGGCAGAATTCCACGCATTTTTTTCGATGCTTGCGGGCAAGAGAAACCGATATGGATTGTGCTTATAGTAGATGTAACTGGCTATTAGACAGAAGATTATGGATATTGAATGAAAATTTTAGATAAGAAGTTTGTGTTTATAGTGGGTGCAACTGGTTATCGGACAGAAAATTATGGACATTGAATGAGAACTTTAGACAAGAAGTTTACTATTGAGATTGTGGGAGAAGTAAAACTTACATCGTTTTTGGAAAATGTCTTATGTAATGTCTAAATATGTGTTTTGGGATAATAATATATTTCAGCTTTAAGTTTTAAACCTTTAATGATAATATTGTTTAAACCTGTGTTTTGAAGGGATTATAATTTGTTTATTTCAGTGAGGGGATTCTAATAAATTTGTGTTTTGAAGGGAGTATAATTTGTTTAAGTTCCAAGTAATGCTTAAATTTGGTTTTTAAATATTATTATTAATATTTCTAAGAGAAAATAATTTGTTTAATTAAATGTCTAGATTTGTTTAGGAAAGAAAGTAATGCTTAAATCTGTGTTTTTGGAGGAAGTTTATATAGAATGATGATTGTATTTAGATTTGTTTAGGATTCAAAAGTGTTTCAAGTTTTTAAATATTATTAATATCTTTAAGAGAAAATAATTTGTTTAACTAAATGTGTCTAGA